TCTGGGGGCGTGTTTGGAGGATGAGGCATAGCTCCTGTTCTCCAGGTGCAGCTGGGGCCTGGGGGGTCTGGACTGTGGAGCTACTTAAGTTGGTAGTAACTGGGAAGGGGAAGATTTAGGAATTAGTGGTTTCAAATGACTCTGTTCCCCACCCCCATCCCCACCCCCCTGTCCTCTTGCCTAATTTATCCTCCCTGCCTCCCCACCCTCCCTTCACCCCCGCAAGAGTCCAGATCCTACTCTGGGCCCCATGTTATTGTGGTTCTTCCTTGGCTTCTTGGAATAGCTCTGTGCCTGGCTATGGAGGTGGGCACAGAGAGAGATGCCCCCTCATTTCCCACCTCAGGGTGACTCCTCAGCTTCCAGAGCAGGACCCTGATACCCTGCCCTGGGGGCTGGGACTCTCCTAACAGGGGCATCTCAGTTGTGCCTGCTGCTCTCTGCAGACCCAGGTTCTCATTACTGCAGCGTGTACTTCCTGGAAACACACTTGGGTCTCAGGGAAAAGACGGGGGAGAAGCACCATAAAAGGGGAACAGGAGGGAGCGAGAGCCCCAGAGCAGTGATCTCTACTAGGATTTTCCCCAAAGACTATCCTCCCAAACATTATTTGCACATATTTTCCATGGATGTATATATTTAAATCTCTTGTCTACAGCTGCCAGATGAATCATGCCAAAATACTGCCGTCAGAATTTCAAAGAAGTTTCTTTCATGGTTCTCTAGAGCCTGTGGGCTGATGGCCAGGGTCAGGCATTGGGGCCCACCCATCTGGCTTCTGGCCTCTTCTTCCCTGCGCGTTCAAGTCAAGACATTTGCTGACTGCTCTGCAGGCTCTGAGATCCTCATAGAGAGAGGGTGCCCTAAAGAAACTGAGCAATGCTTTTATCCTCAAGGTAACAGGGGGACCTCAGTGTGACTTCATCCCAGGTCTCACCTTCTGATTAACTTGATGTGACCCCAGCAAATCCCATTTTCTCCCTTTGACCCTTCCCTGTTCTGCCTTTCCTACATCCTCCGTTGCTCCCTGTGTTCACCTGCGGTTGCATCTCTGGTGTCTTTCTTGGCCCAGTGCTTCCCAAGGTGAGGTTTCTGCTCACCTAGCAGCCCTACGCAGGTGACGGCTGAGGGGGCCGCTGGCTTCCCAGGGGCCAGAAGTAGGGCTGGGGCGCCCTCTTGTGGCCAAAAATTCTCTCCAGCCTCATACGTATTTTCCTTCAGATTTTCCAGGAGGAAATTGGCCTGGGGGTTATTACTTCAATGTCAGTTTGTTTTGGATGGTCTGGGCACCTCTGTTCTGGCTAATGTTCTCAGCGGCAGTCGCTCCCAAATATTTATAGATCCCCTACTCGACTTATACATAGTTTATACTCTAGATAGCCAGTCCGTGGCACTGGGGATGCAAAAGTGAACATTAGGCCCTGAGAAATTTGGCCCAACCCCCTCAGTTTACTGATGGAGGAGCCTCCACCCTAAGAGGCAAAGAGATGCGCTCAAGTTCATTCAGTTATGCAGAATCTACATGAAACTCAGGTGTCCTTCCAGTGACGTAGATTGAGCCAGTTACCTCTGTGGCCTTTATCTCACTGATTAATGTCCTGGTTGTCCACAGTGAGGTACCAGGAAGACCACTGAGTTTAATAACCATTGTTACTGGGGGCCTCCCAGTAAGTCTCAGCACAGAGGGCCTGAGGGCCTGAGGTCAATCCCAGCCAGGGAGCTGACCCACATGGCACTAGCAGACCTCCCATGTCTCGCCCGCTGCTCCCCTCAGCAGTGTATTTCAGTACATCTGCCTGTTCTGCTCCCTGCTCTGTCTCTGGTGAATCCTCTTCTTTTTTTTTTTTTTTAAAGATTTATTTATTTTTATTCAAGAATTGGGGTACAGGCCAGAGACGCAGGGGTGAGAGGACCCACCAGAGACAGAGTGGGGAACAGAACAGGCAGAACGACAGAAGTACACTGCCGAGGGGGGCAGTGGGCGAGACAGGAGAGGTCTGTCCTGCCATGTGGGTTTCTCTCTGGCCGGCTGGGAATCGAACCCATGCTGCAGAGGCTGCAGATTTCTTCATAGGTTGCGTCCTAACCCCTGCGCCACCAGGGAGGCCCTGAATCCTCTTCTTCCCCCCACCCTCCCCCAAGCACTCCTGGCCTGCCCAGTTCTTCTATGCTAAAATAAATAAATAAAATCTTTAAAGAAACTATCGTTACTATTTTTCAGAGTTTACATGTTTCCTTTCTCCTATCTGGGGGATGTAACCCACTGGCAGGGCAGGGAGAGAGTTCCTCGGTGCTCAGGTTTGTACTGAGCCTTTCAGTGCACCATTCCCAGATGTATTATCAGTTAGCATGACCAGATCTTGATCTCATTTAGGTGAACCGTTCTGGTCACTACCCAGACTGGCAGTTCCTTTAGAACATAGGTCATGTCATTGACACTTACCAGCATAGCCAAGGGCCCTGGTGGTGCTACGTACCTGCTAACTAGCTGCTTCACTTTTGAGACACACTGCAGGCAAGTCTCTTCTCCTCTCTGAATGTGTCCTCATGGGAATGCAGCCTCAATGGACGGCCCCACTTGCAAACGCACTTGAAAATATCCACAAGTGCTGCCTTCATAGGCAAAATCTTTCTTGTCCCCCAAGATCTCCAAACATATTTTCGATAATGGTGAGAGGGGATGTTCTGGAAGCAATTGGATGGATTGCTGTTTGTCCCCTATCCTGATTTTTTAAAAAGATTATTTATGCATACAAGCTGGGGTACAGGCCAGAAATGCAGGGTTGGGTGAGAGGAGTCGCCAGAGACAGAGTGGGGAACAGAACAGGAAGACTGACCAAAGTACACTGCTGAGGGGAACAGCGGGGGAGTCAGGAGAGGTCTGCTGTGCCATGTGGGTTGCTCCCTGGCCGGCTGGGGATTGAACTCATGCCGCAGAGACTGCAGACTGCTTCATAGTACAGTGCTTAACCCCTTGCGCCACCAGGGAGGCCCCCCCATCCTGATATTTTTTACCCTATTATCCATCATGAAATGCCAGCCTGAGTCCCAAGTTGCAGTCTTCCAGCCTACAGGAACTGAGGGAGGCAGCCTGGGTGACTAGGTGGCAGAGAGCTCACACTCTACTGAAAGGGGCAGTGGCCTCTCCTCAGCCGTGGCCAGCTGTTGCTCAGCAGGATGGGAACCCCATGGGGCTTGAGGTGTTGATTTTTCAAGAGGAAATAGATACTAAAAAAAAAAAATATTTTTGCATAGTTGAACTGGGGTGTAGACTGAAGATGCAGTGAGTGAGAGGATTCACCAGAGACAGAGTGGGGAACAGAACAGGCAGACTGACTAAAGTACACTGCTGAGGGGAGCAGCGGGTGAGACAGGAGAGGTCTGCTGTGCCATGGCTGGGTATCGAACTCAGGCCATAGCAGTGATAGCTCTGAGACTTAAACCATAGGCCATCAGGGAGGACCAACATTCAAATTTTATTTTACTTTTTTAATTATTAGATATATTTATATTAAATATATTTATTTATATAAATATATTTTACATTGTCGTTCATTTTTGTGCAATGTTAGATTTCTCCTCTGAAGTCCAACATTCAAATTTTAATGTGAACATTTTTTATTTTGGATCTTAGTAACTAAGTGAAAAAATTAGAACTACTAAAACCCTATCCGTGCACTGTTGCTTTGCAACATAAAGATCCCTAGTTTTCATTTTGTGCAGTGAATCTGGTGTCAAAAACAGCCTCCCAATGCTCAGTTGCCCTAACTCATGTGTAAGACACCTATTCTCCCTCCTTCATTGCCTTCGTTTTCTCCAGAAGCATCTTTGGTCAGCAAAGAGCCAGACATCTCCTCACTTAGTAGGAGCAGTTCTCCCACTGAAGAACCAGAGTTTGGCTTCCTTGTGACACTGATCGGCGATGCCTTCAGAGGCCACCAGGGGGCAGGGTCGGGTGCTGAAAGCATTGGCTCTGGCTGGCTGAGCAGTGATATTTGCAAGTTGCTGTTTTCAGTTTAACTCAGGTTTGGGAATTCAGGAAGGCATCTGGGGTCCTTCCCTCAGGGGACACTGTGTCTCACCTCCCAGTGGGTGCCCACCGTCCCCACTGTGGACGTCCTGCCCTTAGCACCTGCCCCCCACCGCACAAGTCTCCCATGTCCCCAACCACCCAGCTGCCACCATGTCAGACTGGTCTGCCTAAATCCACTTTCCACTGACCTTTCAAGAGATTTTAGTGACTTGTCATTTTCCTATAGCTTTCCAGAAGTGAACTGTAAAGAAACTAGACTCCCTTCAGCGAAGAAGAGTGGAGTGGGAGGAGCTTTTCTAGCATCTCACTTGTATTCACAAGTCAACCTGTGATATCGCCAGGTCACAGGTGAGGAGGTTGATCCTCAGAGAAAAGTGGCCAATTCTGTCATGGGGCAGAATTCATATTTGATGATTTTTGTTGATAGGTAGTCTGGGGGATGTGAAACTTAAAGATTTGGTTTCCATCATGGTCAAAGAGACTACATCTTATTAGGAAAGCATGGTACATGTGTAAGAAGGAACTAACTCCCAAGGGCTTCCAAATGGATAGTGTAGGCAACAATGACAGAGAGAAGTCCTGGATCAAAATGGGGGAGGCTTCCTAAAGGAAGTGGCAGTGTTCATACTTGGGCAAGTGTATCCCTAGAGATACCAGCGACTTTCCAAAGGGTCAACAACAGGGTTATGTTGCAGGGAATCCATTTCCAGAACATCATCAATAAGTACTATTCTATTTCTGGACACACCTCTCGGTTCATTTTACAGTTTCTTATTTCACAGTTAGAAAAGAAAGATATGCTTCCAGGTAAACTTTCCTACCTTTTAGAAGTTAAGTGTGGCCATGTGACTTACTTTAGCCAATGAAATGTGAACCAAAGTGTCATTTCTGGGTGGAAGTGTTTAAGAGTCAGCGTATGATTTTCCTTTTTAACTTCTCGGTGCCATGGTGACCGGTGACATTTCAGCTGGTGGAGTTTGGACCCCTGAGTGATGGTGGCATGAATCAGAACCCCCAACTGACCTACGATGGACATGTATCGTGAGTTGGAGGTGGAGGGGAGAAGAACCTTTGTTGGTTTAAGCAGCTGAGATTTTTCAGGTTTCCTGTTGCTACAGCATAACTTAGCCTGTTCTCTACAGAGCACTTATCACTCGTCCATCCCACATCTTCCTTTGGACTATGCCTTGGTGTGCAAAAATCTCTGGGACGCCACACAAAGAAAGTTTAAAATAGTGATGTGAATATTGAGAAAGTCAGTGGTTCAAAACCCCTTTGTAAATAAAAAATGTCCTAATATTTTGCTTTCAACAATCGAAGGAGGTGAATCAAATTCCTCACCTGCTTGAGGATGGGGTGGCACTAGGGAATCTGTCAGGATGTCTTCCACTCTATCCTCTTATTTATGTGAATAAGAGTTCTCAGCAGTAACATCTGTAACAGTGTAATGTGGAAATAAAATTGTTGCTGAGCACCAACTCCCTCCAGCATCTTGATATCTATCTTGATATGAGTTGAATTTCCTATAAAATTTTACTTCCATTTAGTAATTCTTTCTATCAGTGTTTGCAATTTATTTATATTATTTTTGATGTTGAACTCAAAATAATTGTAATAATAAGTCAACCCCGAAGAAAATTTTAAACTCTAGATCCTTATGATCACAAAAAATAAGAAAAGGATACAATTTTAACTTATATATGTCATATGGCAGGGAACTGTGGGTTGGTGATCAACAAAAGATTTTCAAGCACAAACTATGTATTCTGTGTGAAGAAAATACAACTTCAAGGAGAAAGAGCAATGATGTCAATTTTTCCCTCTGTTAAGGAAGAGCTTGCTAATATGTTTTGTAAAGGTTGATAATAGAGATCAAATTGCTGTGATTCCACTGATTACTTTTATGTAGGGTTAACTTTAAAATGTCAATATGTACCAAAGTGTACCAGAAACGACATCCTTTCAACTACTTAAAGCTATTTGGAAAAAATTTTAAATTTAAAATTTTCAGGAGAATATGGAGTATAAAAAGTGCTTTTTTTTTTTTTTTTAATTTATACAAGCACTGGGTACAGTCAGAAGCGCGGGAGGGTGAGAGAATTCACCAGAGCCAGAGCGGGGAGCAGAGCAGGCAGAAGGACCGAAGTACACTGCTGAGGGGGGCAGCGGGCGGCAGGAGAGGTCTGCGCGCCATGTGGGACCCTCCTCCGGTGACCAGGGAGCAGCCGGGGATCGAACCAGCGCTGCAGAACTGGCGCTCAACCTCTGCACCACCGGGGAGGCCCTAAAAAGGTTTTCAATTAAATTTATTTTCTTACACTGTTGTTAATTTTTGAACAGCATTTGATTTCTCCCCTCGGGTGTATAAAAAAGTTTATTGAGGGATGCATCGTTTGAACTTTTGTTTAAGGCAGGCATGAGCTAAGTTATTGAAAGACTGCTTACCTTCAGGGATTGGCTGGGTTTGGCTTCGTAGAGGAGTAGAAGAGCATTCTAGGTAGGAAGACAAGAGAGAAATGGTGGAGAAGCAGAAACGGTATGTTCAGGGAACTGTGAGTGGGCCAGTCCACAGAGAGGAGCGTCTGGTGAGAATTTGAAAGGTAAGTTGGGATAAGACCAACAGTTACTAGACTGAGGCTGTTTTGCTTCTTAGTCACTTTATTATGAACACTGTGAACAAGTATAATCTTGTAAAAAATCAAACCTTTGGGCATAGGCATGCCCCCTGCCCTTACTCCTCAGAGGTGACCTTGATTTTCAGTTTGGTATTCACCTTTTCAGATGTATTCCCAGGCACATGGGGGGAGAGCCGAGCCCTTACTCCTTTATGTCTGGCAACTGGGTTTGCCGCTGGACTTGAGAATTATGATTCGGGAGTGAGGGGTAATTTGGACATAAAGCCTGTGACATCGTATTGGCAGAAGGTGCGTTGAGCATCGTGCCACTGGAAGGCGTGGGAGAAGACACAATCCCATCTTTATTTGCTCGCAGATATACCTGACTGGGTCAAAATAGTCTCTCTAGAAACAGGTGGCCCTCTCAGTTACTGTACTGTCCCCACTTGTGGCAGAGACAAGGGCACCGAAAACTAATAATCACATAGGTGTGATGCTTAGTCTCTGTTTCTGACAATGGGGCGTGGTGGGCACTGTGGCAAAGGGTTGGCCCAAGCTCTTTCTTTTTTTTTTTTTTTTAAAGAGGCATGTATATTTATTTATTTATTTGTTTGTTTGTTTGTACATTCACTGGGTACAGTCAGAAGCGCGGGAGGGTGAGAGAATTCACCAGAGCCAGAGTGGGGAGCAGAGCAGGCAGAAGGACCGAAGTACACTGCTGAGGGAGCAGCGGGCGGAGGAGAGGTCTGCGCGCATGTGGGACCAGCAGTCGGGATCGAACCGGCGCCGCTGAGGCTGCGGGCAGCTTCGCAACCCAGCGCTCAACCGCTGCGCCACCGGGGAGGCCCGGCCCAAGCTCTTTCTAAAAGGAGCAGTCGTTCCTCTGTCCAGTCAACCGCTGTCTTGCGGGAATATGGTGTGTGTGTTAGGCGTGTGTTAAGACTTTTCCAGAGACTGTGGAAATTGGGATATTTCTGCAAAATCTCTCAAATTTGCTCAAAGATCTTTTTGTTTTGCTGGCTGCACAGAACATGTGTTTGTAGGATACACCTGGCTGCGGGCTACTAGTTTGTAATCTCTGCTTTCGGGCTCCTGGCCTGAAGGCACAGCACTGGACCTTTATGTAATTTCTTGACATGTTGCTTGGCCCTAAGATGTACGTGGTAATGAAGGATCCTGGGCTTCTTAGGCAGATGCTGTGGCAATGGTTGACTTTCCTCAACATGTCTGGTTCCCACCGCTTTCTAACTTCCAGCTAGTCACAGAGCTCCAGGAAGCAGAAGGTTCCAGAAGCATCCTCATAAATCCAGGGAAGTCAGCCAATCAAGTCACTAGGGGCCAAGATTCCTCCAGGGAGTTGGTCCTAAGGCCTTCTCTCAGGACTTCAGGGCGGGCTCCTATGCCTCTCTCAGGACAGAGCCCTGTGGGAACACACACTGGTGACTATTTCTCAGAGGACTTTGTCCTGTGACTAAAGCCAAGCAAGGCACGCAGACACAAATGAAAACATACATACATACTCACCTCCCCCCCTCCTGGCACTTCCAAGACTTTTTCCCACGCAGTCCCAGGGCAGCCGGAAGGGCAGCTGGTCATGGGAATGGACCCGAGGCCCCCACCCCCAATGGAAGCTCCACCCTGCTCCATTTACTCCTGGCCATGCACTCCCCAGGCCCCTCTGCCTGCTTACTACTTCCAGGGAAGGAAATAGCTAACAATGCGGCACATCAGAGAGTGGGCACAGAGCCCAGGGCCTAGTACCGGTCCTTGGCTGGCCTGGGCTCCAATCCCTGGCTGCCTTGTTCTCACCACTCACACCTCCCTCTCAGCTGGTTGCCCCAAAGGTTGGCTTTCCTCAGAGCCTTCTCTCCACCTCATCATACCTATGATGATAAATTTCAGGTGCTGACAACTCTTTCTCCCTTTCCTCGGCTCATGCCTTCTCCGCTGTGTGGTACCCTTGGTGTTCATGGTCCCACAAGCTGTTTGGTTTGGGTGTAATTCCCAGTAGTGAGGGTCTGACACTTTGATGGAGAGTTGACCAGTGGGGTGAGTGAGAAGAGTCAATGTTTTCTGAATTCATTCTCTAGAGGTGAAAGCAAGGCCTGAGAACAGAGATGGTACCAGGACAAGAGCAGTGGTTTGGGCAGAAGCAGGGAGCGCTCACAGGACTCTGGGGTCAATCTCAGAGAAACAGAAAGGAATTACTAGTCATTTTTAATTTCTTGAGGCTGGGGAGTTGGTGGGAACCACTGCTTTTGTTTTTCCCCTTGGTCTAAAATAATGTTTGGCCTGGTTCCGGAACCCCACGCCCCAGGTGGTGCTGCCCCGTGTTCACTCTCTGTTCTGGTGCTTTCAACTGCCTTGCCTTCCGCCAGGCATTTCCTGCCCGGGAGCCAAGGGCGCAGGGTTCCCCACAGATCTTTTGCTGCCTCTCTGAAAGTCAGTGTCCCTTCTCCCCTGGATCCTGGCTCAGGTTGCAGGGAGTGGGATGGAAGTTAGATCCTGGGAGGTGGCTCACTGGGTGGGTGATCCACAGACCCTTCTCCTCCACACCCCATGTGGTTCCAGAAGTGGTGGGGTGTGTCCTGAATCCCATTCTCTCCCCCTTGACATTAAGTTTCCCCCTGTAAGTGATTTCTGCCCCTGCACAGCTTGATCATACACAACTGGCCACTTGGGGACCTAAAACGTCTTTAGAGTGGGAAAGAGTCCTCAAGAGGCCAAGCCAACCTCAAATTTTTGGTGAGAAAGTGAGGAAAAGGGGAATTGGGGGGGAGGAAAAGGGAGACCACAGAGGCTCTTGGGTTTTCTCAGTCTTAGGCAGTCTTTCTGTAAACTTCAATTTCTTTTTTTTTTTTAAAGATTTGTTTTATTTGTTTTTATTATGCATACAAGAGCTGGGATGTAGGCCAGAGGTGGTGGTGGTGAGAAGATTCACCAGAGACAGAGTGGGGAGCAGAACAGGCAGACTGACTGACATACACTGCTGAGGGGAGCAGCAGGCAAGACAGGAGAGGTCTGCTGCGCCATGGGGGTCAGCTCCCTGGCTGGGGATCAAACTCAGGCTGCAGTGGCTGGCGATAGCTTGATAGCGCTGAGACTTTAACCCCTGTGCCACCAGGGGTTAAATGGATATAATTGACATATGACATTGTATAAATTCAGGGAGAACAGTATAATGATTTCACCCACATAGATCATGAAATGGGCACCAAAGTAAATTTCATTAATGTCCAAGAGCTCATCTAGATAACAGAGAACTTATAGCACCACCAAAAAACTCCAAAATACTAACGACAAATATATATATATATATTTTATTCTTGTATGAGAATTCTTAGGATCTACTCTTAACAATTTTCCTATATATCACAGGGTAGGGTTAACTAATGACATTCTAGTACTTATTTATCTTCTACTTGG